AATTGAAAGTTATATGATGCTAGCACTAACTCGAAACGCAACAAATTCCAATAAGTGTTTGTAAAATTAAAGTTGTTTTTTGACATGTAGTTGCTGACAACTGCTATTAATAAGCTGCATTTGTTATGAAAGTTGTGAAGAAAGTATACAATTCCTTCAGAGCCACTGCAGTTATGCCGTAGTAGATTGGCTTCCTCAAAGTTAGTTATTTACGACTACGGCAATTTCCGCGAAGATGGGATTAGTAATCAGCAAATCGTTGGTTTTTGTTTTCTGCTCAACGCTCCAAGAAACTGTGCGCGTTGACGTACTCACTGTACACTTTACAATAATTTTTCTAGTCAAAAATATGTCCATGAAAGTTGATTTTGTAAATGATTACCTCGGACGGTTTCTAAATGAGTTGGCCGAACATGGAGCATGTCAACAGGTTCCATTTATGACTGAATCACCTGCGTAATTCATGTTCTTTACCCTCATTTGATTTCTTAACTGTTCTAGAAATACCTTGTGACTCGCAAATGCAGAGAATTTTGTATCGCATACTCTTCTCATTCCCATTGGCACTTCACTTTTGTTTTCTTTGTTCTTTGTCTGCTGAAGGAAAAATTTGATAATGCAACATCGTTGAATAATATCATTTAGTAAGATTTACAAAGCAAATTTAAGCAAAGCGCCATTTATGTAAGATAGAATACGAATTAGTAATTTCAAACATTTAGAAGTGAATCAGTTAAAAATAATTAGTCTTTTAAAGGAAAGGTGTAAACGCTTCTTCAAAATACTTTTAACGGTTCATTTTTCTACAGACTGGGCAGCGAAATCAACATCCCATTTGAACACAACTAAGCGATGAAATAATATCTTATGAACTTTAACCTTTCATAACTTCCGCTATTTTCTATATCTATTTTATAATTTAAAATACAGCGCGCACAAACACATTATCGGCAGCATTCATAAATCTTCATATTATTTTAATCTTCACTTGATAGTAAAACAGTAACTCTCATGGAAGCTCAAAAATTAGCAATTACAGATAAACTGATGCGTTGCACACATATTTAAGTGCACTTATAATAAGTCCCGTTTTTAACAAATTGTTATAATTGATTGCGTTATGGGACAGTGCGTGCCGCCTCAAAAACGTTTTGAATTAAATTTTGGTAGCACATTGTATACATTTCGAAAGTAAAAGTCTTCGTCTAAAAATTGTTATGCTTTTTTGTTTAGTAATGTTTCTGTTAAACTAGATCTGACTGAATGGTGGAAGGTCATAAAAAGCTCGGCTCAATCAGGGTTATGAGAAACACGAAGTTCAGATAACACTACCACGTTATATAGTTGGGACCGAATATTCATGTTCGAATAAAATCTTCGAAAATTTCGGATAATTCGAATATTCGACTTTCGAAT